TGTGTGTGTGTGTGTGTGTGTGTGTGTGTGTGTGTGTGTGTGTGTGTGTGTGTGTGTGTGTGTGTGTCACAAGTGTAGGGTGTCTACCTGCATAATTTGAGATGGTTTATGGTCTTGTCTGTAGCATCTGGTGGCTTAAGACACCCACCCGGGACACTCTAGCGCTTGTTCGGGGCAAGGAGCTAGGGTTGGCGGTGATTCAGCCTTACCCGGGAGACTTGCCATCGAAGGGGTTTATCCAAGACGTGAGACATGCTCGGTTCTTATTCTAATGATTAGAAGTCACCGCACATTTGTCTGAAGCCTCTAGTGGCCAAGGAAAGTCACAGAGACAACCTACACGCGCTACGAGAAAGTTTGTGTTTGGGACACCCAACCCATCGAGTGGGTTCCATGTCAAAGTTTGAGAGCGTCAACCCTAGGTGCCTATACAAGGTTGTTAGGACGAGTTTGAGGTGTCGTCGAACATTTTGGGTTGCATTGCATATATGTGGCCTCTCTTGTTGCATTCTTGTGTGTGGTCATTTGTTGCATTTGTGTATGACTGCATGAGCACTTCAGTTCAATCAGCCACCCTGGCACGTCGATCGATCATTTGGGTTCGATCGATCGCGCTAGGCCGATCACCTTGTCCTTCGGGTTCGATCGGTCACCGCGTGTTGATGCCACACTTCGGGTTTGATAGGGTGTCCAAGGTCGATCGTCCTATCCTTTGGTTCGATTGACTGCTACATGTCGATCACCCGCTCTATGTTCAATCAGTCATCTTAGATCAATTACCCTATCTTTTGGATTTGATCAACCATTATGTGTTGATCACCTACTTTGGGTTTGATCGATCATCCTGAGTTGATTGCCCTACCTTTTGGGTTCGATCAATAGCTATATGTCGATCACCGCTTTGGGTTCGATTGGTTGCCCCAGGGCGATCACCCTCGCTTATGGGTTCAATTGACTGCTACATGTTAATCGCCCGCTCTCTTTAGGTTTGATCGACCGCTACATGTTGATCACCCGCTTTGGGTTTGATCGGTTGTCCCAAGCCAATCACCATATTTGTTTTGGTTTTGATCAACTGCTACGCATCGATCACCTGCTTTGGGTTAAGATTAGGTGATTGGGTCGGGCTGGCCGATCAAACTCGAAGTGATCGAGTGATCGGACTGGATTGGTCCATCGTGTAGCCGATCGAACTCGAAGTGTTCACGCGATCAACATGCAATATGTAAAATGTCACAAATGAGCTTGCAATCAATGTAACCCAAAACACTTTGACGGCACGTCGAACTCGTCCCGTCAACCTCACATAGTTATCTAGGGTTTTCATGCATGGATATGTGACATAGACACCTCTAACTGTAGCTAGCAAGTGCGGAGAATTTTCCCTCTCGATTGCTCGAAGAAACGATTCTCTGCATCTTGCAAAACGAACTAGCTACAAAGCTTTTCCCGTTTTGCAAGTGTGTTGTTATGATCCCTCCACATAAGATTAGATGCCGCTACAACCAAGAGAAATTGGGATTTCAACCCACTCGTGTTGAGGCTAAGGCTTACAAGAGGACACTCTTGGCTTTATTACAGATTTAGTCACGAAAGTAAATTCCTAACATAGGGCTTTCTGTAAGAGACAATTGGCTGATCCAAAGGCATTTGACAAGGTCGACCGGTATCGTTCGGCTAATCAAATCGTCTAATAAAGGGTGATCAATTGAGCTTAACAATATCAGGCGGTCTGTCAAACTTACCTTGTGTGGGCAACCAAACGCAAAACACCAAGCAAAATCTATCCCTAAGGCTTAGCTAAGAAATAAAATGTAAGGAATTTTGATAAATTTACCAATGTGAAGGTTGTTCGATGTCTGACAAAGTCCAAGAAAAAGATCTCCTCAAAAGGAGAGAAGAAGCCCACACTTTTCTCTCAAGAATGATAAAGCTCTCCCCACAAGGAGATTTCGTCGATGTCATGAACCTGGCTAAGGCCCTTCTACAAAGTATGGATAAGCTCTCTTCAAGAAGGAGATTTCGGCAAGGTGGCGCACAAGAAATCCCTCTCTTCATCTGTCTTCTTCGGCGAAGTGATGGCCGGAAAAGCAAATGAAGAGGAAGAAGGAGAAGAAAATGGAATAAAGAACTGAAAAGAGTAGTATGGAAGAAGGAAGGGAAAGTGCTCTCAAAGGGAAAGAGCTCTCAAAGCACTTAAGAATCTCTCTAAAATCCCTCCACATGCTCCTCACAACACTCCCGGCGCTCCTCAGTCTGAATCAGAGATCCAGGGGATGATAGGGAAGAAGAAGAATGAAGAAGACGGAGAACATGAAATAGATGAAGGAATAAATCACTCACTAAATCTTCCAAAATCACTCAAGAAACCCTCCAAAAGCTCTCTCCCAACTCTCCCAATAAGAATTTGGGATCCTTCCCGCTCTCCACGATGGCAGACTACTTAGCCATGCTCATCTGAGATAATCCATTGGATTGGCTCCGCTCAGTGTCGCCTATCCATTTCTCTGGTGGATTTCCATCCTAAAATGATAAAGAGATTTTTGCCCTTTAAATCACTCCCACAAATGAAAAAATAACCAGGTATAATAGCTTTGTAATCCTACAGGTAATGCATGGTGGTCTCCCTCAATTTCAATTTCCCATGGTGCTTAGCCATGCTCATCTGCGACAATTTGAGTTGGAGGTTCTGACGCCTATGCGCCATAGGTTGGCACATAAGCACCCACCTCTCAGGTAAGCACAAGAAGGAGCACTCCTTCTTCATGTTGGCTCCTATGTGCCAACAAGGGGGCGCATATGTGCCCGCATGACTATTTTTCGGCGCCTATAGGCAACCTTGGGCACCCAAGCACCACTGGCTCTTCTTTTCCTTAGGCTTCATCAAGGCTTTCCACAAAGGGCTCTTATGGATCTCTGGACCTTAGGAGGATATCCAAGTATGAAAATAAGCTTCCTTACATTAGAGTGGATACCGAGGAGGCGTCGTATCGGGCAAAAACTTCTATCAGGGGCCGAATTCAACCCAAATGGTATAAAACCCAATTTTGCGCCCGGATGTTCGTAGAAAAGTTTCTATTGATTTGAAAGCTACAAGAAACCATGTATCCTTAACATACGACCCTGTGACTTAGAAATGAATATTCCAAGAGTTTTAAATCAAAAATTTTGGTGCCGCCAGACGTCTCGGAACCCTGTGGGGGTGGGTTAGTTTGAACCCCAATTTTTTCAAAATGCACTTGGGAGAGTA